AAATCAAATAATTGGAGATGCTTGATTTTTTTTTTCTTGCTTTTTTTTTTTCTTTCTGATTTTGACTTTTTTTTTTATTTCCTGAGCCCTACAATACATAAAAGAGGAACAAAATGAACAGTAGTTCCTTTATGGAAGTGGTTGTAGACATTGAAAGATTACTAGTCCTATCTCTCAATGATGGATGTCCCACCAATAAGATTTTCACAGGGGATGACTTTTGCTGACTTTTGTAGACTGAAAATGGTGGAAGTTCATTTAGTTCCTTTTTCAGTAAATAAACTAGTTGATTACCGATCAGAGCTGATCAAGAGGGGAAAAAGCTGAGATTCTACCAATTGTTGACCTTTGGGTGCTACTCTGCGTTGCATGGTTCTTTGTTAGCCAGGTGAAGCATATAGCTAATCAAGCAAATTAGCAGGAGGTGGAAGGAAGGATGAAGTGTGGCCTCTTTCCTAGCTACTTTATTTCAGTTCTGTTAGTAAATGTATCCTTGTTGCAAGTAATTGTCCCTCTTAATACCTTACCGCCCAGAAAGGAAGCCCTGAACAGTTGTCTTTTCTTTTTACTGTGGCTTTTCTTCCTCACATGACTGAGGAATCTTAGCGGGGGCCAGTGTCTTGCCCTCTTCAACAAAGCTCCTGCAGTGCAGCGGTGGTCCTGTTTTGGATCGCTGCAGACAAATGAACCTGTTGTTCGACACTCCTCTTCATCTGGCTTTAGCAGTTAGAGTAGCATACACTAGCTCGTCTGTGTGTGCATGCATGTGTGCTTTCTGGGTGTTTTCTGTCAGACCACTATCTGTGAAACTTTGCCAATCACTATCTCTCTCTTCAATGGAAAACCTTATAAGTTATTTTTTGTGTGCATTAGAGCTTGGCTAACTTTCCATCGTTTTCACACAATGTTTTCACTTTCCATTGTGCCAACTTGGAAAAAGCAAACACAGCCAGAGCAATCGAAAGCTGGGGAAAGTTCATAGAGATGGGTCAGAGGCTGGGATGTTTTGCTGGGAACCAGGGTGTTGTTTGCTTCCTGTCAGTGTGGATGAGTCCTGGTCAGTCCAGCCTCCCTTCAGCTGTAGAGAAAGGAGAAATGGCTCGGCTCTGGCTCCCAGGAGTGACCAGACAAGTGGACAAAGAGTCCCCTTTAAATGGCTAATTTGATTTGCATGCAGAGTCGCAGCCTGCATGTTCTCTACTCCAACAAAGCGGCATGATCTGCATGGCTCCACTCCTTCCTTGTTTTCTATTCAGTCTTCCTCTTTTCATACTTGCAGTGCTTCAGATAAACACTGCTTTAGTGTTGTGAAATTCATCCTCTCTCAAACATAATGCCAAATTCTTCCAGCGGTTCTGACGATGATGATCTTCAGGTCAATATGGTTGGTTTCAAGTGAGCTCAAGGGGGGTTGGTGGTTAAAGTCACTGGGATCTCATTTCCTCCTCCTCTGTCAGTTGCCTGAGCGGCTTATCGACCAGGTTTCACAGCCAGTCTGTCTGTGTTTGTGATGTGGGCTGTTAGGTGTGGTCCTTTACATGATCCACATGTTGGTGCGAGTCACAACTACAAGTGTTTGCAGGTTGTTTTTATTTATTTATTTTGTACAAATTTCCACCTGAGGCTGTGTGCTGAACAGAAAAACACACTAATGTTCAAATAGTTATTTGGCAGAGTGGGAGAACGACTATTCTAGAAGCTCTAGAACAAATCAAAATCCCTGCCATCTGTTGCAGAGTTATGCGTTCTCGAGAGATATTAGTTTCAGAAAACCTTGAAGTTCACGTTGAACCTTTCCTAAATATTCTCTTCTCTGTCACTCCCCAGGCTCTGTAGCTATCTGCAATGGACGACATCAAAGTTGAGGCCAAACCCCTGTTGGTTGACAGAGAACTACCGGTATGTATGCTGAAAGCCAGTGCATGTTTATTTAGAAAGTTATGCCTTGGCATGGTAAACGTCAAAAAAAAAAAAAAAAGGCATTTTCTCAACATTTTAAATCAAAGACATGTTTTGTGTGCAGGGTTGATTTAACCTGGAGTCTGAAATTCTTTGAATCACAACTGTCTTGGCAATATTGCAGTTTGAAGTCCTCCCATCAAAAAGAACTGCTGACATGCAGTATTTTGCAGGCTGCTTTGCTTTTATACTTCATGCCCCCAGGGACGGGCAATCTGGACTTTTGATGGCAGAATTTTGTGGGAGCTCTAAAAGCGACGTTTGGAAAGCATTTCAAAATTACACATCACTATGTGGAGTCACAACCGCACACATGCAAATTTGCTTTGACGGTTTAAATGTAGCTTTTATACATGGACCACTGTCCACCAGCTACGGTAAGTGGTGCCGTTGTACCACTGAGCTGCACACAACTACACTCATATTAAATATGTTAATGTTTAATATAATTATCGGTTATTCCCTGCTGTCAGTTCTTTGTTTTGTGTGCAGGGTTGTGACAACAGTCATCAATTAGTGTGATCTTGATATTTTTTCCTGATTAAACAACACAATAAATGCAGATCTCTGACTGAGAAATGTTGGCTAATTTCAACAAAAAAAAAAAAAATTCACTATGTTTTTTTTTTATTTTTTACCTTGCTCTCCTAGACTAAATAATTTTTAAAAAAATATGAAACGACAATTATTCCTATGGCTGCTTACATGACATAACTTCTATGCACTCTACTTTTGATTCTAATTCATAATGCATAACTTCAGCAAAACTACAGAATTAAAACTCTTCTGAATTTTGTGTTCTTATAGAGGGACAGTCTCACAAACTGATATTAACTATGTAAGTTGTTGCCCATGTTTAGGTGTTAATTCTGCAGTCAGCAGCTTAACAGGCAATCTTTGAAAACATCACTGATGGATGGCAGTCCATCAGTCTACGCACTGATGAATACCATGAATGTAATTCTTTTGTTCTCCCTTTTTGCTGCAGAACATGTTATCAAACGGTTAAATGTGTCTCAGAGCCATCTGACCAGCAGGGCTTTGCAACAGACGTAGGCAGGTTTATGCTTTAGCAGTTGGTGTAGTTCCTCCCATTTCTAGATTTGATTGGACTGCTGTATGCACATTGGTCAACAGACCTGCAGGAACCATGAGGCTAAATTTCATAAAACTTGAAGGGGTAAAATACTGTCAGAAAAAACTCAAAATTATGCTTTTATTTTTTTTTCTAAATGAATGGAAACCCTTGATACAAAGTTCATTGGTTATGGCAGGCATTTCAGAAATTTTTTTTAAAAAATTTTCCTCTCAGTTCACTTTTTTTTTCTTTTTATTGAGAACAGAATATCTGTCCTCAGTAATGAATGTAGCAGTAAAAGTCAAACTGCATTTATTGACAGGGTTAGGCTCTTGCAAAATTGAATTAGTTCTTATAATTGCATTAAGTTCATCCTTTCATTAACCTGTTATCTCCTTCCAGGGCCTGAGAGAGGCTGTACTGCAACTTGTTGTCAAGGTATGGCTTCACAAACACAGATTTATTGCATTACTACTTTCTCTAGCTAAAACACGTTTTTGGCATGTTTAGGTTGCACTGTGCTTTATTTTTTCTTTTTTTCCATTGTGTGTGGTGCCTGATATGATAATCATTCCCATTCAGTGACAATCATCATAGCTGTAAAATGTTATCCACCATGGTCGGTGACTTATCTTCTCTTCAGCAGTTTTTGTTTGTAGATTAATCTAATTAAGGTTGTACATCATTCAGCTACTGGAAGTGAGGAAGTCTCTTTTAACTACCGTACATCTGAAAAAGGCCACAGACATGCATGCGTGCCTGCACCTGCGCTGTTGTGTGCGAGGTTATATCTGCACCAACATAACTTTTCAAATTCGAAATCCTTTCTGTAAAAAAATAAATAAATAAAATTTTATCATCTGTAAGTGATAAAAGTCACTTACAGATGGTGTAGTAGGACCTCACTATTTTCTTCATTCATTGAAATGAATTCCTACGGGTTCAGGTTGTAAATCTGGAGTCCCATTGGAAAGTGTTTTTCTGCACTTTGGACCATTTGGAACATCTCCCCCCCAGCCCTCCAAAAAAAGTTCATATTTACTGTATGAGCTTGTGCTGTCTCTCAGCTCTGAAGTTCGTTTTAATGAGGCATAACGGCTCCCAGCTGTTACAGAACGATGAAGGAATGCTGCAGGTATTATTTTTCTCTCCTAAAATTAGAAACATCACTTTCAGTCATTTTCCCATTGGCTCAATGCCGACTTACGACATTCTGAGCCGCTTCTCTTGGACCTTTGAGACCCTTGCAAGTATGGGAATTGCCCTCATGAGGGGAAGCTCTGATGCGGGGCAACTCCCTGACTTTGAATTCCTCTGACTTGACTAATTGGTTGGGTCACCAGGAAGTATCTAGGCCATACATCTGTGCTGACCTGATTACAATAATTAGTGACCTAGGATTAGTGAGGGGGACGGCATCATGCTGTTTGGTTTCACGTCGCTCGCCTTTGCACAAAATTGTCGCACAGCTGCATTTTATTTCTATGGATTTAACAACCATCTCTGGGCAGGCATGTGTGCAGTTACAGGTGTGCAGTCATGTAGTTGCACATGTGGAGGGATTATCCCGCCTTTGTAGCTTATGTGCCTGAGCGGGCCCTGCAATGGCAGAGGGGACGGGACGGGACGGACAAGATGTGAGGATTCTTGTCACATCCTGTACATGGGATGTACACACTATTAGCAATTCCTGCAATACTGCACAGTTTGTATTGTTATTTTTAACAAAGTAGTCTTCAACTATACTAATCAATATTACTTTTTTTTACAGGCAGAAAGTTGAGATTCCTTTCAAGACACATTTTTAATCTCTAGGTTACCTAATTTTGCTCTCATTCATATTTTATAACATACACTATAGAAATATTTTCAGTAAAACCGCCCTTTTTTTTTGTCTCTTTAATTTTGTAAAATGCAGTTTTGTCCTGTTTTAATACTATTAATAGTCTTCATTTTATTCCTGATTTAGACTTTTTTCCAATGCGTTACTGAATAACAGCAGCTGTCAATCCCTCATATATTACTCATCTGATCATACACGCATCTTTGCGCTTGTTCCGTTCCCTGACTGATGCCTCTCTCTGCCCGACACCGGCTGATCCAATTTAAGGATCTTCATCTAGAATTAGCTTGTTTTGACCAGCCTGCAAGGCACCCTGGGAGGCTGGGGAGCTTAATGCAGGCCGGTAAGCAGCAAGGGTATAAAATGCAGCTCGTGGCAAGAACTTTAGAGGCTTACCAAGTGTGGAGATCTGTAGCTCGGGAGAGAGTCTGCGTTGTTGCATTTTTATTTTTTCTAACAGCGAGCGGTGCTAGAACTCGAGTCCTGCAAACATGGTTCTGGAGGATTCTGATGTGGAAATGATCGTTGCTGAGATTGAAGTCAGCGTGAGTAAAGTTTATTGAGGCTGCTGGTGGATGGTATTGGTACGGGTCTCCATATTTAGTTGCATTTGATGCACTTTTTTCAAGAATGGGTCAAATTTTCACAGTCTGGGGAAGATTTAAGCAAAGTGGCTATTGGAACATAAACTATGTGTTGATGTCTATCAGTTTCTAGAAAATGTTTCACCTTTCTTGGCACTTTTCTTTCACTTTTAAGAACTTTGGCTGGCTTAAAAAAAAAAAAAGTTTTTTTTTGTTTTTTTTTTTTACATCTATAGGAACACGATGTTGAGACTCCTCATGGAAGACTCCACTGCACGATGAAGGGCTCTCCCAAAGGGGACAGACCAGTCATTCTTACCTTCCATGACATTGGCCTGAACCGTAAGCCCCGCTCCTTCCTCAGCTTTATCTGAGAGAAACATCTGTTGTTCCTAAAGCCGGTGGGGTTTTTAATGACTGTGCCATGTGTGATCAGATTATCTACGCACGGTAGACCGGGGTCGAAATAAGATTCTTATGGTATAATAACCTTCAGTAGAAGAACGCCAAGATTTGCTCATGTTTTCTTTAAAAAAAACATACATATATTATATATATCTAAATATAAGCTCTTTCAAAGTAACTATTCTGCTTACTCTGCTTTGGAAACCTGGGGAAAACTTTGATAATTTTTTTTGTTAAGCTTTAAACCTTAAGAATGATGTGGTAGAAAACTTAGGCAATTCTGAAACTGTAGCTTTCAAAAACTTTTAATTTGTGCTGTAACTGCCCCACATATCTATGCTTAATTATTTCAATTCCATCGCATTACTGAATCTTAATTCTCCCATCTTTACTTATTGCGCAGCTGGATACTCTGTTTCATTTCAGAATCCCAGTCCCGCCCTTATTAACTGCAGTTAATTTGCCTTTTTTTGTGTGTGCAGACAAAGCTTGCTGGGACCCGCTCTTCAACCATGAGGACATGGCAGAAATCATGCAGCATTTTGCTGTGTGTCATGTCGACGCCTTGGGGCAACATGAAGGAGCCAACACCTTTTCCACTGGGTGAGTCAACGCACACACTCTCTGTGTCAGGCAGCCTGTGACCTTTGACTGGGCACAGGTAGATGGATGGATTCCTGCGTATGTAGTTGGGACATCCTGATTTAACATGTGTGTCGCCAGGGCAGGCGTTTATCTCTGTAATCTCTTGCTTTGAAGTTGGTGCTTTGGCCCTTGATAACGCTATCCTAGCATAAAGCTGAAACGCCAATACTGATGGTGTTCTCATAACGAGCAATATAATGTTACAAGCTTAACTATGAATCAATTTTTTTGAAAAGTTTTCAATTGTTATGTCTTTTTTAAAATTTCAAGGTATGAGTATCCCTCTATGGACCAGCTTGCTGAGACTCTCCCATTGGTGCTGAAGCACTTTGGGTAAATTGAACTTCAGTTTCCAGTGAGCCTTTCGCTGTTTCATGTAAAGAATTCTCTAACCCGTTGTTCTAACAGTATCCACGTATCTTTATGCACCGCAGCCTGAAGAGCGTCATTGGAATGGGCATCGGAGCCGGCGCATATGTGCTGACCCGATTCGCCGTAAGTTCACACCTTGCTCTCTCCCATTCACACTCCATAATTTGGGTTTTAATTAATCTCAGATTAGCAGCTAATGTGTTTCTGCCTTCTGATTATTTTGGTCTCAAAAGGCCGCTTATTACCCAAGCCCTCTGAGACACAAAAAGCCTGAGGAATGTAGCCGATCGGCTCACCGCTAGCACTTTGCTCGATAGGAAGTCTCTGTGTTTATGGAACACTGTTGGAGACAGCTTTTAACTCCGTATTGGAGAGAATATTTCAGATTACTGCTTGGGTGAATTCACTACATGCACAGGAGTCAGATTTCTAACACTGAAGAAATGAAATGGATCTTAATTAAAATTAGACAGAAACGTCTACATTTCCTAAGTTTAAATGATAATCACCCGAAAATGACCAAATCGAGACTCTCGACATTTTGCGCTCTAAAACAGAATCACTCACTTCCAGTTCATTTTTTCCCCCCTCGTTTTAGCTGGACTATCCAAATATGGTGGAAGGTCTCATGCTCATCAACATCAACCCATGTGCTGAGGGCTGGATGGACTGGGCTGCCCACAAGGTAACATATTGAAGGACAGCAAAAATGTCGGTACATCTTGCCTGTTGATGGTAGCTTGAACAGAAACCCGCATCAAACAGCAAGTTAGCACTGCGCAAAACAGATTTTATTCTGAAGAGAAACGGTGTGGGGGGTGTTTTCCAATACTGTGAAATCCCACATCATAAGATCTCATTGCACAAATCTGTCAATGCAAGATCATTTTTAACTTTGTTATTTACATTGTTTTTCTGTCTAATTTTAGATCAGTGGCTGGACCCATGCTGAACCTGATATGATTATTACCCACCTCTTTGGAAAGGTACAACATTTCCCATTTATTAATCCTTAAATCTCAAAGGACTTCTAAAATGGTCATGAATGTAGATTCTAAGTTTAACGTGTAATTTTTGGTCCCTCTATAGGAGGAGATCCACAACAACCACGACCTGATCGCTACGTTCCGCCATCACATCTTGAACAACATGAACCAGTTCAACCTGCATCTCTTTGTCAAGGCCTATGAGAGGTAACGGCAGTAGAATGAGACTTCGGTCAAAGGTTTTAACAAGTTAAGACGCAGCTGATTTTCTCATCCTCTCTCTACAGCCGGAGGGATCTGGATATTGAGAGACCGGTCCCTGGATGTAATGCCAGAACTCTCAAGTAAGTATAGGCAGCCTTCTTTTCTTAAATTGTGCAGTAAAGGACAAAATTGTTTGTAATATTGGTCAACAGATTGCATTTTCTTCATCCAGGTGCCCTTCTCTGCTGGTGGTCGGTGACAATTCTCCTGCTGTGGATGCTGTGGTGAGTTCAGGCTGGTCACTCATTACTTTGCCGGTGCTACACATAACGGCCTGAACGTGCTTTCCGTCCACTTCGGTCTTCTGTTGAGGGGAGAAGATTTGCCAGTTTATGTGTCGCATTATGGCAACATTTGAACTTGTGCAAAAACATGGTTCTAGGAACAAAGATCAAGTGACTCAGATTAGATTTAATCTCCTAAAGTCAAGAGATTTGTGTTGCTGGGTTTACTCGTAGCTTAGGAATTGTCTCAAATCCCCTAACTGTTTATTTATGTCAGAGATAAAAGCTTTTACTTTCTTTTTTGTGGTATGGCCAGGATTCCTGGGAAACTTTATAAACTGGACTTGTTTGTGCTTGCAGGTGGAGTGCAACACCAAGTTGGACCCCACAAAAACAACCCTCCTTAAGGTGAGAGTTATGTCCAGTCCCCTTTGTTCCACTCCCCCCTCCGGACCTCCCTGCTCCCCTCCCATATTCTCGTTAAGATTATAATAGCCTTGATGGAAACGCTTCAGCTGATAAGTTTCCAGCGGGTCAGCACTTACTTGGTGACATATTAACCAGTGCTGCCACAGCCGAACATGTCCTTGCATACGCACTTTGCCTGTGCAATCTGTATCAGCTGACCTACTTTTGGACGCCTTTGGCAACCTTTTTATCGGCTGCACCAAAATCAAATGGCTGGTGAACTGAAAAATAGATTCACCGTGGAAACTCCAAAGTAGCACAATTGCAAGGGACAAGGTGGTAAAATAAATGGGTCATCTTGGGTGTCTTTTGTTTATTTATTTATTTATTTTTCGGGCAGGTAAAGATGGCTTCTGTTTTTCTCTTTCCTTTTCCAGATGGCTGATTGCGGAGGCATGCCCCAGGTCGACCAGGTGGGTTCTCTTGTTTTTCAAATCGAAGTTCCTGTTGCAGGGCAAGCTGGATGTGGCTGGATAAGGAGTGCATGTAGTCTGTGTTTGTTTATGTGTGTGTGTGAACAGTAGTGTAAGAAGGTGGCATGTAAGAGCATTAGGAAGAGGCAGATATGGACCACAGTCGTCAGGTTTTAATCCTGCACACTGAGCTACACCTGCTTGTAGCAGCTGTCATATCTCAGTAAGCTGCTGGATGGAGAGATGGAGCGTGTTGATGTCTTATGTAAACTGAGTGATTATTTATGACATGGAGACTGATTATCTGTGTTTCTGCTCCTCCCTGCAGCCTGGAAAGTTGACGGAAGCTTTCAAGTACTTCATCCAGGGGATGGGATACAGTAAGTAATCAAAGTTTTGGGTGTTTTGACATTTTTATTTGTGTGATGAGACGGACCGTTCTGAAAGCGTTACTGACCTGACCCTATCTAAGGCGCCTCTGCCATCTTGTGGTGAGATGAAGACGTTTGTGCGAGTGGGTCACCTTTTTCTTTCTAAATGGTTTACAGACAGGATTTAATAAACTTAAGTCTTAAAAACTTATATTTACATTATGTGGTTTACACTAAGGCTCCCATTTAGAACCACTTTATATATAGTTTTGCTTCAAGCTAAACTTGAGCTATCAAAAAAAGTCTGAACTTCCAGAAGAACCACAGCATTCCAATTCACTCTGATCTTTATATATATATATATATATATATATATTTTTTTTTTTCCCGCAAAACTGTACATATCTAGTTTTGGACAATGGACAAAATTTTATAGTCTATGCACTCCATCAATTTATATTTGAAAGTGTGAATTTTATATTTTCCATGTTCTAAAAATGAACTGGAATGCCACTTGATGTGTGAACCTGGAAGGTTCTTGGTAGCAACCTTGCAACAAAATGTAAGGAGGCTGCTTTGCTAGTCAAGTTTCATTTCCACAAAGGATGCACGGATAATATGGGCAAAAATCAAAAACTTGTCATTTTGTTTTCCTTAATCAGTTCTGAATCAAGTCAAATATTAATAGCAATTAAATGCACAAAAACATGAAAAGCTATATCTTTGCATATTTGTTAGGTTGCTACAGTTTTGGAATGCATAAACTTCACAAAACACAGTATAAGCTTCTCGTGCTAATTATAGTTGGCATGGTCAATTAGCACAGTCGGTAAAGCCAACTGGGTTTTACTTTTTAGGTGATTTTTTGCGTTCTAACTTATGAAGAAACTGTGACTAACAACTTCTTGGTTTGAATGGCTTTATTTCTAAATGGCAACAAGCTAAATCTTTAGTCGACTCCATATCCTGACTGTGCTCCTTCTTTCGCAGTGCCCTCTGCCAGCATGACCCGCCTGGCTCGCTCCCGCACCGCCTCTGGCTCCAGCATCACTTCAGACGGCAACCGCTCGCGCTCCCACACTCACGATGGCAACCGCTCGCGCTCGCACACCAACGAGGGGAGCCGCAGCCGCAGCCACACGACCGAGCACGGCCACACGGACGGCACGGCCAACAACAACGTGGACCAGTCAGGGCCCAAGTCCGCTGAAGTCTCCTGCTAAAGTGAACGCCCCTCCCACAACATCCTGCCCACTGCAGACAACAAGAACCTCTCAAGGTCCCTTCATTTTGTGCTGCGCTGCCTCTTAATTATATACACACACACATAGATTCATACACACTTAAAACAGACAGGGACACTAACATGAAGTATTGTGACATGTAAAAATGAAGAAAAAAATGCACAAAGGACTCTTGCTTGCAGATCCTCCACTGCAGCTGAGATGTCTTACATTTGAAGATCACGTGATTAAAAGGCTGTGGTCAACTGTTTTGTCATTCAGGGACTCGTACACAAACAAAACATCGGCACTCTTCAGTCAGGCAGGAGAGCAAACGGAGGCAACGCAGCATTCGAGGGGGGACACCAAAACGGAGAATATCAGAGAAGGCTGTGGCTGAGAGTACTCCAGCTTGTAAACTATTTCTCTTGCATTTAAAGCAGAATTAAAATTCAGCATTCCTTCTGTTTTTCCTCTACTCTTACCACGTTTCGACACAGCTTTCTCGAATTTACCCCACTGTAAATGTCTTATTGTCTTCTCACTAATTGTCTGGTCATTTACTCTGTTTCCAAGTGGCGTCGTTTGTGCATAGGAGCAGATTTGTAGTCGTAAGGGAGAGCGATGAAGCACTCGGACGGATGGATGCATGAATCGTAAAGGGCTCATTGTATTTGTAGCTTCACAAATTAAGGGAGAAAGTTTTCAGGACATACTGTAAATGATGATTTTATTCAGCTGGTGTTTATTATCTCTGAGGTGTTGGGTTTTTATTTTAGTTTCCCCTTGCTCCCTTCAAGATTTCCATGTGAAACCTTAAAGGTGAAATACAACTTGAATTAAGACTGAGCATTTTCTGAGAACATTTAATTAAGAATTAGCTTTATGACGAATTAAAATGCAAATTCACACGAGCTTTTCAATCATATATGCTTATTTCCTTAAGTTTTTCTTTTCCCCTCCCAAGCTATATGTATGCTGATTTCTATGCAATCAAGCACAAAGGAACAAAAAAAAGTGCCATGAAATTGTTCGCTTTTGAGATGTGACGCTCCTGTGTGGTTTTTGATTTGTTGGGTGAGTGCAGACAGAGAGGTCCACATGTTAGCATGAGGATAGTCATAGAACTTACCCGATACTATTTCCTGTATTGTACTTGCACTACAGCAACATATTACTTTGCAGATGACATAAATGCAGCTTTATAAAGATGCAATGCACAAACTATCTCTTTGCTGTAGTGGGGGAAAAAAATAGCATTAAAAATGATATAACAGTTTGTATTTATTAAAAAATGACAATAAAAAAAACTTGTAACGATTCCCTTTTGTTGCATTATTGTATATTTCACAATGTAACTTTAACACTGATTTACTTTCTGTACTTGCAATGACGAGGATAAAATGCAGGAAAACTGTCAACGGTGCCTTCCAAGAATATCTGCTGCCACTGAACTTAAAGAAATCAAAGTTCAATGGATTTTATGTCATAGTCCAACACGAATATGCACACAACTTGAGAACAATGAACAAATGGCTTCATGAAAACCATGAACTACACCAGACAGATAAAAGTTGCAGAGAAGTTTAACGGTTGATTAGGCTATAAAACAGTCAGCAGAGCCACAGCTTAAATGAGAGACTATGTGAGTTGAAAGGGTGGGACAGTCTGCTAGATCAAAACCCATTAATGTATTCGATAGACCCAGTCAAAGTCCAAAGTCTGGCTGAGACTCTGACCTTTTAAAACTTGATTGTTCATAGATGTCCAACCAGACTGAGGTTGAAGTATTTTCCAAATCTGAGATTTGCAACGCTGGTTGGCATAGTCTCCAAAACATATAAAACTTAGATTTTGGGGGCCTGAATACAAATGCACGCCACATTTTCATACGAGTTAAAAAAAATTGTCTTGTCATTTCACTTCAGTTTCCAGCTTAAGTGTAAATTCCCAGTGGAACACAATAAACTTTATGATTCTACTTGGTCAGAATGCGAAACAGTTTAATACATTGCTTTTGCAAGGCGGAAAATATTGTCTACTTTTTGTTTGCAAAGAAACTGGTGAAAAATGAAAAGAGGAAAATGTGTGATAGAATGTGAAAGATGCTTGATTAGGGAGCAATCCAAGATAGATGCATAACGTCAATCAGAAACTCTACATAAAGAAGTTAAACTTTAAATATAGGCTTTTATTGTTTTATCTCTTCAAATATTCTCATGAATCCGTGTTGGAGACACATTTCATATTTACAATTTTTTCCAAAAGAAAAAAAATATAGATTGCACATGTAAAAACTCAAAATATCTTTTAGGAAACAAACAAACAAAAAAAGAATGTTCTTTGCCATACTGCTGCATTTTAGTTCACAACTTCTGGGTAACCATGGTAGCTCTCCAGCTCTGCAAAGATGTCATTGGGATTTCTGCAGCTAAGGTTGCAGAAGCACGCCTGGATCCACATCATCTTCCAAGTGAATCCGGTCCCGTTCGGACACTCAAACTCCACGTCGACGGTCTTTGACTTGTACGGGATGCAGCAGCGCTCGTCGGTGCAAACGCCGCAATACTTTGGTCGGTACCACTTCTTGCTGGTGCAGCCAGAAATGGTCAGGTTCGAGGGCTCACCTTCCCTGTAGATATTCAGACACTTCTTTCCTGGCTAAAAAAGATGAGAGAAGCTTTTAGGACTGAGGGTCTTTGAAACCTTCGATGACGCTAAAAGTGCCCACGTCTACCTTGATATGCTTGGTGATGTCTACTTCACACGGCCTCAGATTGCAGAGACGGGACTCTTGGACGAGCTCACATTGATCGTTGGCGTTGGAGATCCTCAACGACAGGCCGCGGCCGCAGGTCTTGGAGCAGGGGCTCCATGAGGTGGTCTGGGTGATGCAGTTCTTGTGCCAGCTCTCGGTTGGAAGAACTGGATCAGCAGGAGCAGGAAGCAAGGAGTTATGCCGCATGCACATTGTGCTCAGTTTTACTTTTTCATCCTCCGTTTGGTTTTGGTGCAACGTGAGGTCAGCTGTTGATTTTCAGATTCAATCCTTATTTTTATAGTCACTATCAAACAATGTAATGTTAATGATATAATGTTATCACGCAACATGGCCATGACAGGTTAAACATTTTCAAAAATAAAGTTAATGACTGACTTAAGGAAGTTCAAGGTTTTTGGCCATGCGGTCAATCCTCTAACTTGTCCTGGTTTCCTTTGAAACACTTTTACTGCATTTACAGTGATGGCACATTTCTATTCTTAAAAAGCAAATCATCATAGGGAGTTTTTTCTGCTGCTGTCCATTTATGTGGTATTTGAAATGATTGCTGCCATTAACCTCGTGTTGTCTTTCTGGTTGTTCTTCTCATTAAAAATACACATTTCCCTTTAATGATTAGTCTCACTGATAGAGGTATCGCAGCAACAGACTTTAGGTACTTGGAATTAGATCTGTCTGTCTTATACGGAGTCGTGAGTGATTGTGATTTGGGACTAGGCAAATACAATTTAATTTAAAATTATATAACACAAGATCTTCGTGTACTGCATCTGTTTCCAATCTAAGCCATCAAGACACACTGTCTCGCGTTGGCATCTGGATCTAATTTGTCCACGTGTGCAACCCAACAAGATCTGCTCTGGTTTTCTTGCCTCCGTGGCTTTGTTGCTCTAACAGTCTGGAACCTGGAAGTGACCCCGAAAAACAGTGCGGGGGCTTCCACGGGAAAAAGGCTCGGAAGAACACATTCATCCACACTCCCAAATCTTGTGATCCTCTTGGACTGAAAACAGTATTTGCATAAGTACAGGGAGAGAACCAGAAACCAGGTTCTTTTGTTTTTGCTTTGTAAAGTCAGTTCTACAGGAATCACAGATGAATTAGTAATAATTTGCAGTGCTACGTTTTTTAAAATCCTCTCCTAATTTCTTTACCTTTGTGCCCAGACTTCAATACTAATTTTTTAAAGATCTTTATTAATACGATTCCTAATCTCCTGAAGGTGTTTATTGTTTTTTTCACACATTTTCTGTCCCGTCTTTGTGTCTGACCATGACAGCATAGTGCGCACTTAAAACAACAGCACTCTGCAAACAATTATTCACGTAATATCACACAATCTGAATTTTTACAAGACTGAAAATGGCATTATTTTTATTCCTTCAACTCTAACAACAATTATTTTTACACCTTCATTAATGGTGTCCACAAAAAATAATTTTTTTGTCAAAGTAATGCACAACACAGATTGATCAATCTCTGCAGTTCAACTGCATTCTAAATTCAGGTTGTTATTCCTCATCATCTCGCTCTTTTCTAATGAAGATGATTTTGTGGGAAATTTTAAATTAACAGCAAAATGATTATTGCTCCATTTCTATCCTAGGGGTCGTACCCTCCACTGCGTGCCGCGGCGCCGTCTTGCGTCCTTTCTTTGGCTCATCACAGATCCATTGCTCACAGCACTTCCCCTGGACTTTGACTCTCCGCGGACTTTGGCACCAAACCCTGGGAGGCTGAGATTCTGAGCACAGGGACACACAACCGATGGCGCCGTTCACGCACAAACACTGGTATTTACAGCTGGGCTTGAAGCTCTGACCGTTACGGTAGAGCACGCCGTCATATTCACAGCCCGTTCCCGTCATATCTGATAGAAACAACAAGTGGACACACGTTATGTAGGTCAACAGCTCAGACTGCAATGCAAGATGCTTATGGTACTGCACTGTATAAACAGATGTCTCTGAATAAGGAGGAACCTTGTATCTCAACAGCTTCATGATTATTTACATTTCTGCTTCTATTTGCACAGCTTTTGTTTCTCGTAAATAATCTTGACGCTTTCTGTGCAAAAACACCTTATTCATTTTCTCAAACTTCCTCAGCTGCACATTTGTTTTGAGCTGAGATTGCTAGTTTTAATACTTAATGCATGTAGAGTCCTTCAGTTCCGTTTCATAGAATGTGCAATTTAGGTTCCATAACAAAGAATATTTACCCTGCGCACTGATACAGTTTAAATACAGTCTGAGACTATTGTATATAATAAGACTACTGTATACTGTATACTTAATTAGCTCATCAACTACAGAACATAATAATACAGTATTTATGACTATGAATTTACAAATTTACAAATCTAAACAGGTGCGTTTTTAGCCGAGATTTAAAGGAAGTCAGTGTTTCAGCTGTTTTACAGGTTTCTGGAAGTTTGTTCCAAATTTTTGGTCCATAGATGCTGAATGCTGCTTCTCCTCTTTTGGTTCTGGTTCTGGGGATGCAGAACCAGAAGACCTGAGAGGTCTGGAAGGTTGATACAACAACAGCAGATCTTTAAGGTAAGATGTAACTTTCAAATAGTAATGTGGTAAATTAATGGGTTTATTAAGGCTTTGCATATCTTGTCAGGAGTGCCAATACCCGGGGGAGGACAATAAAGCTGACACTGAACTTGATTTGTATCTATTTTTAACATTAATATTCAGTTGTGTTGTTTATCTAATGCCAGCTGCGTTCTTTTTAAACTACAAGAGCAATGTCAAAATGTTTTGACAAAGCAACATACAATCTGAAAATGTGAACTGAGCTGTTCCTGGTGTGTGAAAACCAGATGATTATTCCAGCGAGTGACACTTACATGCACACACTCCTTTTTCGTACCTAGGCTTGTCCGAGCTGTAGTCACAGTACAGGCCCTTGTGGAAGTCGCAGGTGTCGGCCTCGTTGCACTCCTCCCCGACCTGCCGGGCGCAGGCCTTGCAGCAGTCGCAGCCGTCCATGAGGAGGCTGATGCCCGGAGGGCACTTGGGAGCCACCTCGGGGCACTCGCAGGGCCACTTGCAGTACCGCGTCACGTTGTATGGGTCTGGAGTTGGGGAAGGGAGGGCCGTGGCAGGAGGCATGGCAGTGGAATTCAAGGAGTAGGCCTGGAAGGAGAGAAGCAAACAAACAAACAAAAACTGCTTGAAGAATGCTTGGAAATAATCATTTACAATTTATAATGAACATGTTTTTTACAAATGTGTTTCGGCAAAATAAATATGTCATTGATAAGAGCTTGGTTGCCATGGTTATATTTTTGCGTCAAAAAGATATTGCGTAAGCTTCTAAAGTTAAAAATTGTAATCCCAGATTCTACGTTGTTTAGTGTGCAAAAGGACTGCAGAAAGAAAACTGTACTTATTGTGTCAAGTATTGTATGAGACATTCCTAATCCTGACTCTCTTCATACCCGACCCTCTTTGATAACGCACACATGCGTTATCAAAGCCTCCCTAATTTACTCACTATGATCACTAATATGTGGTCACATTAACTTCAACAAGGGGTTGGAAAGTTAGCTCAAGTCCCTGTGGAGATAATCTTATTAAATCTGCATCAGAGTGCAGTTATGGATGTGATTCTGGTGAAAGGTTACAAAATACTGATAATGAACCAGAGTTTATCTTCCATTGTTGATGGACTGGTACAGATCACTTGAGAGGCATTAAGAGCCCCAGGATCAGAAGTCACTTATTATTATTATTATTATTATTATTATTATTATTATTATTATTATTATTATTATTATTATTATTATTATTATTATTATTATTATTATTATTATTATTATTATTATTTATTTATTTAGGGTTTTTTTGCTATCTTAATTTGAAATGCATTTTGTCCAAGAACAAATTGTGCAGCTATAATCCAACATTTTTCCATTTCAGAATGGATTTGAGAAAATGCAATAACTGATCTGCTGTAAGACTCAACAGTTGACCATCAACATCAACCACAATGTGGCAAAGTTTAGACAAGAGACGGCACACATGACTGCAGGTCCAAATATAGTCAAGTTATGAATCACAGATTGACTCATCCCACTGAAGAAAGCAGAAGCCTTTAGCTCACATCTTTAAAAGACATGAGCACTCACACACACTCACGCATACACACACACTCACACACGCACACACTCACACACACACACACACACACCCGTGCACGCCCGGACACACAAGCATGCATGCCTAATCCACAAGTAATTATGGTAAAACATGTTTAATCATTTTAGGCTTATTGGTCAATTTTTAAATCCTGTTGTCAGCCCTTCAATTGAAATTAGAATCGTATTATTAATAAGTCAGTGTGATGTTGTCGTCTAATGCTGATTAATGAGTTTTAATCAAAGCTGTGCCACTAAGCCAACCCCCAGAGGAGTTCATTTAGCCTGCAGTCTCACGTCTCTTTACAACAGAAAGAGTGATGAACAGTATTAGTCATGTTCCTGCAGGGAATCTATAAAGATATGAAACCTTCCAACATCAAGCTTTTAGCTTATTGCAGAAATGAAAATACCAGTTGGTCAAAAATTATTAGAAGGGCCAAAAAAGCTTTTTCCCCACTATTTACTCAAATGAGTATTGTGCTCAATATGTAATGCTTTAGGGAAAAACTTAAAACTTATTTTGCTTCAAAATTATCTTTTTTTTTCTATCACAGAAATGGTTTTTGGCTGAATTAAACAGAAGTTAAATCTAAACCAAACAGGGGCGTGAATAATTTTGACTTTAGCTGTAAATACAAAACTCTTCTTTTAACTAGTAAACAAAGAGAGCAGATGCGAAACCAAGGAGGAGGAGGGATCTGAAGATTGGGTGCTCAGTGCAGTCATGGTGCTTAACATTTGTTAAATTGCAGGGAGATTTGTACAGTATTTTAAGAGTTCAAAAAGTCTATTCCCTTTTAATATGCCAACCTATTTAGTGACACAGTTTCACTGCATACTGAAGATCTTTGTTTACTGAGAAGCACTTGCAGAACATGGAAAAAACATGTTAGCCTCGAAGGCATTAGGTCCTGAGGGTCCTGCAATGTATTTACAATTCAAAAACTGAAATTATTCATTCAGCGACTTTTTTTAATTTCATTCCCATTCCAGAGAGTAACAATTTGACTCCAAATGCAATAAAGAGTCTTTTGAGTTAATTTTTATTATTATTATTTTCTTACGTCTGATATTAAAAAATTCTAGAGCACTTTATGTGAAACACACCTAAAATAAGAAACTGATGCATTTACAACTTAGCAATATTTTTTTTAACTGGATGTCGGAGGAACTTCTGAAAGAAAGATCAGAACTTATATTTCCAAACTTCCTACACATCATCATTGTGAATTCAATGACAGAACTGAAGTTGTTCTTATCAAATATGAAACTTTCAATGGCATCACTCCCGTCCATCTTAAAGATCTTATCCCACAAGAAATCTTTGGTAAGCCTTCTCAGTGTTTCTCGGCAGAGAATTCAAGCACAGTGTTACATTTTCAGACTCCTACCTTGTGGAGCCAGCTCACATTTAAAACAAATTATTTTTAAATATGTTATCTTCAATTCAATTATTGCTGTGTATGGTTTGTCTTAAAATTACTCTATACATCTTTTACATCTTTTTACTTTTATTTATGCTACTTCACTCGACAGATGAGTTCCAGTTTTTGACAAGTAAAATACAACCCACTGCTGTTGATTATAACTTTCCAATTGCCAACAAAAGGCCAATAATTGATGCTCACGAACTGGAGTAAATTCAAGAAACAAATCCGAGCCAAATGAAAAGCATTTCTTGGACTAACCACAAGAGGGCACTAAAATATAACATGAGAAAACACGCAAGGTGTCTGTTCACATTGCAAGTTTATTTAGTAGTGGAAATATGACAAACTATAGCAGCTTATTTTCATATGTACCAAAAAGAATTAAAATATTTTTGAGAAACTGTCAAACTGTTTAAATTGTCAAGCATCATGATCCATGAAAAGAAAACACCTGAACAATAGACATAATGCCTTTACCTCAATTATATAATAAAAAATCCCCAACACAGAAGTCATAAATAAATCTACATTCAACAAACAACAGGGGGAAAATAAATTCCTTCAGCTCACCTGTTGAATACCAGCTGCTGTCAGAATCCACAACAGGAGCCAACTCATCACTGGTGAGGAAAAGCCCGGGCATTAAATTGGGAATTCGGTTCCGCTCTGTTTACACCGTATGAACGCGGTTCTGCTCCGCAGGTGAGCTACGTCCCTCTGCATGAGCTGTCATCCTCTGCAGTGTCACTCCCTCTGATCCCGAACCTTCTGCTGACAGCCCAGCGTAAGGTCTGTGAGGATGGGAACAGCATTCTGAGGAACGTTTTCTCCTCTCTTCTCTGCTCCACTTTCACCTAAAAAAAAATCCTCCTCCTCCTCCTTCTCCTCCTCTTCCTCTCCTGACGGTTTGGGCAGCCCTGGTGGTTAAGGCGTGTCTGGAAGACAGCTGTGCTCTGTGGAACTTGCTGAGTTTAACATGAAAGGATATAAATTCAGTTCAAAAACAGAGCATAAGTGTATTTTAACAGGCTTGTTTTTCATAATGACCAACAGTCCTATAATCCTCAATCTTCAGGCATATCATCTAACAAATACAAAGCTAGATTTGAAATGTTGATTAACGGATTAAAAAAAAAATGCTTAGACAAATTATGGGTTTGTGTGTCATGGTGCTGATTTATTGCACCTTTAGGATTTATTTCTTCTGACAGATTTGCGTTTTTCAGTTGAACATTACATACGGCAAAGGTTTTGAAGAGATATAGCGCTTGCTTTGCCTGTGTCACCACAACAAAGTAGTTCTCTTTTTGATGGGCTCAAATTTTTTAGCTGAATTATTGGAAGCATTACAGCAAGGGGAGTTTTTATTTATGTAAAATAAAAATAAATAAATGTTTTATTAAATATGATGTAGATGCTTAAAACTGTCCAAAAGAACAAAAAGAAAAACAGCAGAGTTTAAAATGGAAAAACAGACATCATAAGAAAACTCCTAACAGGAGAGCAGTACAGGATTTTAAAAATTAGCTGGATTTTAAAATCCACTATCACCGCACTCATAAATAAAGTACCTTGACCAAGACTTTTGCACAAGACTGCCTAAGACGTAGAGTTACAAAACTGCAAAAAAGCGCCCATACCTCCAAATTGTGCATAGGCTTGTCAACGGTGAGACAAAAAGGTTTTGTACACATTGTTCAATATGTAGTTGTTACTGCTGAATTACAGCATGTTACTGTATTCCTACATTGCAAGAAATTATTTCCCTGTTATAAAAAAGGCCCTCAAAAAGCAGTTGATGTGTCACCAAACCACACAGGTTGCCCACCTCTTGTGCACTGTGTCTATATTAGGCTTCTGAATGCGTCTGGCTCCCAGATGTTCACATTAAATCAATGATGTCATCACTGTCTCCTCTTTTCCCCATCCCTTCAATTCTTTCAGACAATCTGGGTGTCTCAGTTTGAGAAGATGCAGACGGGGGTCCAAAAGTATTCCACTTAGTGAAACTATTTCCCCTCAGTAGAAAAATACCACGCTGCTGGGCTGCTGATGAAAATATCACTCAGAAAAACCAAAAGTGTGCGAGGATGTTTGGCCCCAGGAGGAGACAGAGAAGAAAAGAGCAATGGATGAGAAATGAACACTTTGCAGAGGAGCTGGCTGCCCCAGGACTGAACCCCTATTATTTACAGAGAGCCCTCTAATCCCTGTCAGAGAGCTGTCAGCCACCGAGCTGATCTGAGCAGCGTTTCCGTCTCCGCTCTGGCCTCTGTGACCCGACCCCAGTGCAGCATATTGTGACCACTTTCACTCCTTCACACTCTCTGTCTCTCAAGCTTATCTTGCTCGCTGTCATTTTGGAGTTTTGGAGTTTCCACTGTATTTATCTTGTACCTAACTTGTCCAGATGACAAGATGCAGGCACTGGATTAAAACATTATTTCAAAAATGTTTCCAGACCTTCTGGTATAATTCTGGCTGGATATTTGACCTTTCCCCTTTGCAGATTGAATAAAAGTCACTTAAATATTTTTGGTTTTCTACCACAGACGCAGTATTAAATCATAGCCCACAAATTTGTCATGAGATTTGATGTCTGAGCTTTGGGAAAGCCATTCCAGAAGCTTAACGTTTGATTTATCAATACTAAGTCGGGCTCTGACGCGTGTTTGGGATGTGAATGTGGAGCTGGAACCCACAAGTCCAAGTTTCAAGACTTTAAATATTAAATCTTTTGATTTAAGGCTAAAGTTGAAGAATTTGAAAAAGAAACAAGTTCTCAATGTTTATGCAATATAGACCTCCAGCATGATGCTGCCACGTCCATCTTTGGAAGCTGGTGCAGTATTCATGGTTTAAGTGCCTCAAATTAACCTCATTCTTTTCCCTGCAGTCAAATAATTTGGGTTTGTTTCATTCCTTAAGACTGTTTTCCACATACCTGAAAATCTCAGGGTACTTTTAAAGTGACAATTCTAGAACACATACTCTTTCCTTTGCACTTCCTCGGTTAGAAGTGATGCAAAATTACTCTGGACAGCGACAGTGATGTTCAAGTCGTATCCAGTTCCTGGGAGGCTTGAGTCCAGCGGCAGAATGATGCGGTGGATATGTTCATTCACTTAGCAGAGAGCTAGAGGAACTGGTAGGAGCTGATGGTGAAACGAGTCGAGCTAAATACAGGGCAACGCTCGAAGGTCACAGGCTGAAAATGATTTGAGACTTTGGTGGAGACATGGCTGTAATGAATGGCGTCGAATCAAAGCATATTCATGAGTTAAAACGGCCCAGTCAACATCTGGGCCAAAATCCAATTAAAAAGCTTTAGCAAGTCTTACATGTTCATGTACTACACAGATGCTTTTTATCCAATCTGACTAAGCTTGAGGGATTTTGCAAGGAAGAAGGGTGGGGTGTGTGTGGTAGCATAAACTTTCCAAATCAATAAACATCTTATAAACATCCCTGAAAAATACTGACTCGGGGAAACTAAATGATTTTGTGATTTCTATTTGGATTCCTCACTTTGTTTTCCACAGCTGCTTTGTGTTACTTTATCAAGAAGAATTGGGGGAACAGAAGGACTCAACCTGGACTTCTAATGTGACAAGTGTGAAAAAAAAATTGAATTCAGTTCTTACCAGCATAGTCCAGATAAAGTCAAATTCAATCTAATTTAGCTGATCATTAGGAGAATTTTATGAAGCTTGAATAAAAACTTGAAAGACTTTATTAAAGTGTTTCACAGATATCAGTTGCATTATCTTTATCCAAGTTTCAACCGCTAATATGAAATCTACAACCTTTAAAGGCGTGTGGCATCTTTAACTGATTCGTAAGAGGAAAATCTGACGCATGCTTTCTGTGCACTCAGGTCAGATCAAGCCAGATTTTAATCGTCTACCATGAAAGCTGTGAAACCCCAGGTGCAACACTCAAGAGGACAAGAGGTAGAGTCATGAAGGGTAAAGTGTGAATGAAGGCCTGATTATGGTAGCTGATCATCTATGACTTGAGTCTTGCATCACTGCTCAAACTGAAAATCCCCTCATTAAAACCCCCTCAACTGACCAGGAAGTCCTAAAGAAGTCGACCTGTTTTGAAAACGTTGAAGCCTCAAAGTCAAGTGAAGGCGATAATCCCTCTTTGATTGGTAAAATTACTCTGAGAACACTTTTTTGGGGGTTCCCAAAAAGATGAATGACTTTTCAAAAAGTGTGGGGAGATTTTAAGAATTAGGACTTTGTGAGATTTTCAAATTTTGTCCTGACATCCACAAAGGATATATGTTTTAAAAAAGTGGAATGCCTTTTTGTTTTTCAGCCTGCTTTACTTGAACACCCCTGAGCAAAAATCAATGCAATTAGTTGCCCATAGAGGTCACTAAATTTAGTTTTTCACTTTGCAACAAATTGCAAAAGGCTCAGAGCAAACATATGGAAGATGGTCAGCCTTTAAAAAAAAAAAGCCTGTTTGTACCTGCAAATGATGTGAGACAGGAATAGATGTTCACCTTCCAGCAGTACAATGGTCAAACACAAATAGCAAGAGCCGCAATGCAATGGTTGCAAAGCATGGTGTTAGAAAAGGTTCAGTCAAAGTCAAGATCTCATTCAGAGTCTGTGAAATTGCTGTTCACAACTGAATGAGTTTAAGGAGAATTAAAAAGAAAGAAGAAAAGAAAATAGTCATCAGATGTAGAAAGCTGGCTGAAACATACGCCAGAAGACTTGCAGCTGTCAATGCCACAAATGGTAGTTCACTCTCAAAATTATGCACTACTTTGTTTTGATCTATCTCATAAAAACCCATTAAAATAAAGTTTATGGCTGTAAAGAGCAGAAATGTGTTCGAGAGGTATGTGTCGTTTTTCAAGTCGCACCAAGTGTATTTTTGAACAAGTTTGAAAATGGTTAGAAAAAATAAACTCCACTGAAATATGCGAAGCAAATTTTCACACATGGACCTCAGAGTCGAAATATAAATGTTATATTTGTGGTGCTTTATTATTTTTGGTAGATTGAAAAGCTGCTCCCCTACAAATTTAAATGTAAAACGTTCTTGTACAGTTCTGTGGAAGTTAAAACTGGAAACCATGTACTACATGTAGGTTGTTCTTCACTTATATGCATGTCATATGTGTGAGTGTGTGCTGTAGAGCAAGGGCATGGCTGATTTTGCTCAAGCTGGTCCAGTAATTATACTGTCTTTATATAGCTGTGGTCTGAAACTTGTGGACCCAAGAAAACATCTGCTGGTTTCAGGAGATGCAAGAATTTGACATGAACTCAACAGACTCTAATGCAGTCAATGGTCAATTCTTTCCTCATAAAGGAGAGGAGTTAACATGACACATTTATCAGTCATACTCATATGCATAAGGTTGCCTCCTCAGTAGTACAGCCAAATATAACACCAACTTCTCTGAATTTAGGGTTGATTGACGTACGATTCTTAGAAGTTACCAATTCCTTCCAGGAACTTACATGGAATATTGATAAAATAAGATGAAGCGGTGCATACATGTGCTTTCATGTAGCTTTGCATTCACCATTTTTTCTGTAATTTTGAAGAAACTTTGAAAATCTTCAAGGAACTTTTATGAAAATAGATTAGCACTTTAGGTTTTCATTTGGAAAGTATTCTTTTTACTGATGGCTCTTCTTTTAATTTATTTCCTTTTTTTTTGCAGAAAGTGAAATGCTGCCTTTGCTTGCCGATGTTCACTTACCTATTACTCCACTTGCAACAGGCTGAACTGAAATTTGCTCAAGTTGAAAATGATTTATGCCACAGTTTACTTTCCTTCCAAGCAGACTGTTTTTT